GGTTACAACATAACCTAACGGGCGAGGTTGTGTGCCGGGACGGGTAGTCATATTCGTGGTTATGTTTGTCATGCGGTGTGACTTAATATAATTAGTGGGGTTATATGCCGAAGCAGCTGAACTTGAATTACAGTGTTGCACTCTTAAAGTACAGCACACCGTAATGCTGCGCGTACGTGGGGCATGAACGATGTCAATGCAAGGTTGAAACTGAGTCGGATTTACAAAAATCGGCCACGTGCTTGAAACTCTTTGCGGGGACGACATGTGCGGTAATATTATACTGCATTATGTAGCTCGATATGTTACACTATAATACATATAATGTTTAGTTATGCAAAGAGGAATCTATATTACTTGTGTTGGATTAATACGAATGAAACATAGGCATGTACTGTGATAAACTGACATTGGAGGTTAAGTTCAACACTTGACAGCTTGATATGCTATGTAACTCGATGTGTTGTAGTGTGATATATTGTAATACTTAGTTATGCAAAGAGGAATCTATATTTTTGTGTTGGATTAATACGAATGAAACATATGCATATACTGTGACAAACTGATATTGGGGGTTAGGTGCAGCACTTGATAGGTGTAGTGCATTTACGCGACCAGATGCTCCTATAGCACGAACGCTTAGTTAATTGATAGGGAGCCTACGTCGGGTTGCGGATCTTTGCCACGTGCTTCGGGCACTAGTTAGCTGGATATGAGAGAGGTAGCATTTGTTGAGTTTCGACTTGAGCTGGTTCTGCGCTACACTGGACGCACAGTGTGGTCCTTGGCCCGCGCTTTATTCACTGTATGCAGTATAAAACGGCTCTATCGCTGGGGTGATTAATGATCGTGGACGGGATCAGCACTTGATAGGTGTGTCTAGTAGAGTAGGCGATTGCACTTAATGAAAGTGACAGCAGATAGATATAACCTGCATTGAACCGGAGGATACTTACTTCTGAGGAGACCTTATCGCAATTATAGCTTCATGCATAGACTTACGATATTGTGAGACTGGCTTGCGATTGACGTTGGGATGCGCGGTCTGTTCGTGGGCGCGCACTGATATATGGATATAAATTCGCGTTGATGCTGAAGGTAACTGGGTTAAGCGAAATAACTGGACTTTAGTACCAATAGATTAAATATGATTGTATGAAATATATAGTGTTGATAAGATTTTCGTTACTGTAATAAATAGGATAAATCGTGTTAAAGTCAAATAGAAAACAAATACTATTAATATTATTATTAATTTGCATTATTCCTTTATTACTATTAAGAATATATTGTAGTCGGTTACCAATGCGTTAGTGTATTACTGTAAAGAGTAGATTAAATCGTGTTAAAGTTAAATAGAGGATAAACATTAATTTGCGTTATTATTTTATTAATACTAAGTTGAATTCGGCTATCATCGTGTTAGTGTAAATAAACAAACAAATAGACTAGGCGAGCATAATATACGTGCAAGCTGGGCCTGAGCCGCCCCTAGTGATACGTTTTACGTACACGCTGTTCTAACTAGTGGAACGACTCTGGCAGTGCCGACAGCTATAATACTGGTAGGGATTTAGATGCGGCGACACTGGAAAGTGTTTGAGTTGCAAATGGAGGATTAAATATTGTCGAATCAAGGAGCTCATGGACTAAATCAATACATACTTAGGAGTTCATTTGATATTTTCAATCGGTCGTGTTAGGAGGAGAGAGTATTACGTTGTAAAGGAGAAACCAGGCAAAACAATTATGGATATGAGCACGAATAATGGAAACAAACCCTCAGATGTTCGGATCTCTGAGGAGCGGCGCACGGGGGATGCTTGTCCCTGTCCCCCTGTGTCGTTAGCCAGCGAAGGGAGTGGGGTGGGGGTTACGACGAGACCTCCACTCAAGGCTGCGATCGTCAGTATAGAGAAGCTGCAGATACCGATGCAAATTGGCCTCAGGCCTGGCACGAGTAAAGAGAATAGTCCAGTAGGGGAGGATGCGCCACCTGTGCCTACACAAGAGACCTTGGAACGAACGCCGGTACCGATAACGAGGAAAGCGAAGAAGAAAAATTCAAGTAGGCCAGCTACACCGGAGGACACGGGAAGCCTGGAATTTGTCTCCTCCTATGAGATAGGAGAACTCTCCAGGCCGAATACTCCCTCAAGTGAGGATTTACAGATTGTCTCGTATGAGCCTGGAACGAGCAGTCGAAGAGGATCAGCCTCATCAGGAACGACTTCGAATAGAGGAGGAGTGGAAGCTGGCTCCAAAGGGGGGAGAAAGAGGAAGAGAATCTATAAAAGTCCAGAAGATGAGATGGAGACAGACTCCACCCCATATACATGTACATACTCGGAATCACAACGTGCGGCGTGAACTTAGAATGAGTGAGGTTGAGAGACTCTCTACTGTGGATATGGTA